CCTGCAGCGTCCCCCCCGCGCGATACAGCTCCGACTGCGGGCGCGAGATGCGCGGGCCCTTGCGGATCTCCTTCCGCTTCTCCTCCTTCCTCCGCCGCTTCTCCTCCTCCCGCAGCGCCTTCTGGAAGGTGTCGGCACTGGGGAAAAACTGCGGGGTGACAGCGGGGGGAGGTCAGCGCGGGGGGGGCTGGATGCACAATCCCCCCAGCCCAGCGTTGCCAGGGGTCGAGGCTGTGCCACGGCTTGAGGTCGGACGGGGCACGAGGCAAAGGGGGGTCCTGACGCTCCCCTGGGAGCAGGGCACCCGGCACCCAAACCCAGCCGCAGCCCAGCCGGGGAACGGGACGCACGCGTTTCAGCCAGGCGTCCTCCATCCGGGGGGTTTCTGGCCATTCCCCACCAAGGCGCCCGTTCCCTTCAGCCGCAACGGGGTGGGGAAGCCCACGGGGCCATCTTACCTCAGAGTGGTCCGTTTTAAAGGGATTGCGGTAATCGGGCGATTTCTCGCTGATCCCCAGCTCCTGAGCCATCTGCAGAGCAAAGCGGAGACCTCGTCGGGGAGCGGTGCCTCCCACACCACGCTCCCCTGTGACCGGGGTCTCCTCCCTGCCACCAGCCCCCTCTGTGCTCCCTGCGGTCGAAGTAGTGGTGCACGATCTTGGGGAAGCGCAGGACGACGTCCCCGAAGAAGGCCGTGTTCTCCACCACGTGGGAGTACGCTGCGGGGACAGCCGCCCGCCCCGTCGGCACGCCGCTACGCGCACACCGGTGCCCACCGCTCTGCCGGGAGCCAGGGAGGCTGAGGCCAAATGGGTGGGCTCCCCAGTACGAACTGGTCAGAGAGGCAACAACAGGCTCTCCAACAGACGGGGACCAGCCCGGGTCTGGTCTGGGTACACGGGGGGTTCGTCCCTACGCCGGTGCAGGCCGCAGGAGGAATGTCAGGGACGCACCAGAGCGCCGGAAAAGGGAGGGTGTCAAGGACCGAAGAGGACCTACCATCCTTTATCTTCTCGTCCTGAGGGAACGGCCCGTCGGGAGGCACGTCGGCAGCAATGAGCACGGCCCGGGAGTCCTCCAGCACCTGCAGAGCCCTCCGTTACCGGCCCGTCCTGCCGGCCCTTCCCTGTAGCCCGGGGGTGCTGCCCCAGCCACCCTGCTTGGAAGCCCCACGGTGTCCTCCCTTCGGGCCCCAAAGCCCACCTGCCCACCCAGCTCTTCTCTTTGACCACACAACCCCTGGCCCTCCCCGCTTCCACCCACCTTCCCCAGCCCCACGGCACACCGAGCCCCGAGGGCAGCCCGCGCTGTGGCTCACTTTGAAGAGTCCCTTGAGCATGATGTCAATGATTTTGTACTGCTGGTTGATGTCATTGAGCTCGATCAGGTTCTTCAGCGCGTTCATCTGGTCCTTGCGCTTCACCTCGAACAGCTTCTTATCTGCACCACCGTCAAGGGCACCGCCAGCACGCTTCCCCCACGCTCCCCCTCCACCAGGCACCACCCCAGCCCCTCCATTTCTCCACGAGGTGCTGAGGACGCCTGAGCCAGGATGAAACACGGGTTTCCAGCAAGCCCCTTTGCCCGGACACCCCAGCAAGGCATTTAACAACACTGGGTGCTCACGGGGAGCTTTCTGCTTGCCAGCCCCCTGCTCCAGCTGGCGGGCTGGAGGAGGAACATGAACTCCCACCTTCCTCACATGTGCCTCCGCGAACACACATGCTAAATATCTTTTCATACTTTGCCTTTCACCAGGGAATGCTGCTATGTGCTAAGAAGGGTTTGCATTAGCCCACCTCCTCGTGGGCAATAAATGCCAGTGGCACAGAGGAGACCAAGTGCCACAAGCCCGGGAGCCCTCATCCATCATCCCGGCGGTGATCCCAAAGCACCGAGACCCGCAGGCGTGCTCTGCCACCCGGCTGGCCACGCCACTCCCAAGAGCGGACCGGGAAACACGCTTGACACCCAGCGTGCTGGAGCAGAATACAAAAGCACTGCGCCCAGGAGAACACCAGGCAGCACCGAAAAACCTGTCACTGCTCCTGCCCTGAGCCGGGCGCTTGGTTAGCAAACCCAGGAGCTCAGCTAAAGCCCTGCTACAGAAAAGCAGAGAGGCAGCCGCCCAGCAGTTCGGGGTCCTCTCTCTTCCACCACCCCCCCATGCCCCCTTCCGTGGTCTCTGTCCCGGCGCGTGAGCTCCCTCCGGCCTCAGCGAGGGGCAGGCTGCACAGAAGGATACAGATTTCCAAGCCGGAGTCCACCCTCTGTTTCTCCAGGTCTGCAAAGCTGCCCCGGGACAGGAGCAGCGCCAGCAGAAAGGGGCAGATGAAGAGAAAACCCATGTCGGCTGCCGCAGCCTGGAACAAAATGGACCAAGAAAACCAATAACCAGCGAGGAGAAGTCACACAGGGAGAAGTCACATGAGCCTCTCGGGACTGACAGCACGTTGCCCTCGCCACCGGGGTCCCTGCCTGCCTCTCCCGTGTCCCCAAGGCAGTTGGGGTTAGAGATAGAGCAGCCCAGCAACCGAAGCAGCAGGGCCGAAGGGAGGAGGAGGAGGACCATCCAGGGGCTGAAGTCCACCTCTCCTTCAAGCACCAGGCTTGATCAGCTCAGCCGTCTCACTTCACCTCTTGGGGTGCTGGTACCCGGACCCCTCCCCTCGCTACAAGCCGGACGCCGTGCCAAAAAGCAGCGTTTGGGTGACCTGGTGGTAACTCCCTCCTCGCCCCAAGCACGTCCCTGCCCAGGTGAAGCCTGCTCGCGGGGTCCCTCTGACAGAGCCACCGTGCAGAAGAGATGCTAGAGGAGAAGGTCCTTGGGAACGAGGACCCTGGTCCGTGGGACAGCCTAGACCTCGAAAAGGAGAGCAGTACCTCGGCCTCCAGGCAGCAGGACTCGAGTGGCCGGTCCACGGGGACGAGGCTTTCAGCCCCAGCTCGCCTGCCCGGCCGAGCCACTCTCTGCGATGCCCTAACACTGGAACAGAAGTAAATCCGTCCTTCACACCAAATCTAGGGGTTTTTTCTTGTTGTTTTTCTTTTTTAAAGAATACAATTTGTTCAACCTCAGGCCCAGGAGTGGGGCAAAGCGGGCAGCACCGGCAGCTCTCCCAGCCCCGCCAGGAGCAGCAGTAGCTCCTGCTCCCACCCAGCCAAGCACCCTCGCAACCCCGGCGCAGGCAGGGAAATGGCATCAAGCAAACGCGAGAAACCCTCGGCATTATTTTGACGCTGTGCTTTGCAGAACCCCTGGAAGGGAACGGATCAGAGTCACCACAGCCAGCGTTACAGAGGAAGACACAGCCGTCCCCGGTGTGGGCTCAGCATCACGCCCCGCGTTTCGGACGCGATGCAGAGCCGGGACGGCAGCACAAGCCTCCCACGCCGGGCCTGGGGTCTGTCCCCTCCACCCGCTGTTCCTTGAGGCTTAAGGCGTTTCTCAGCCACCCCGAAGGCCGCAAAGCATGCCGACAAGCTGAGGCTGTAAGGAGAAATTCTCCAGCCCAGGCAAGCAGATGCGCTGCTGGACCCACCACCCTGGGGCTTCCAAGAGACTGCTTGACCCTGCGAACCACGACCCAAGGGCCTGAGGCCTGGTTTAGCAATGGGGTGCAGGCCCCCCCTCTGCAGAGCCCCCCCCACAGTTGCTCGCTCTCTCCCAAGGTCTCAGGGAGGAGGAAGAGCAGCAACTCAAAAGCACAAACTGCGCCTGCCCTGGCACCGGGGCTCCTCTTTGCCCCTCGGATCGGACACGCGGCCATAAGGACCAGGCTGGCTATTTGCCGTGCTCCTGGAGAATCGCAGAGAGACCTCGGAAGCAGCCAGTGGCCTCCAGACCAGGCTGAAAGGCAAACAGCGGAAACACTGCCCACAACAGCTCTGCCACGCTGCCCACAGCAGTCCCCGCACGGCCGGTCAGGGCAGGGGCTCCCGGGTCCCCAGCTTCTGACACAGGAGCCGCGTGATCGGAGGATGCTCCGAGGGGAAGACGCTGAGCTGCTAAAAAACCCGCTCAGGCACAGCAGCAGAGCAAAGCGTGGCTCTTGGCCGTTGCCAGCCTGCCGGGCTGCTGCAGCAGAAAGCCCACCAGCCTGCCCGGCTGCCCTCGAGTCTCGGAACGGAGACGGGCTGTTCCAGAGACACAACAGCAGATGCTGCAGCGTAGGTGGTTAGCGTTCTCAGTGAAAAATTTCTTAATGACTTCACAAGTCCTCCCGCAGCAGCCCTACAGATTGCGCCACGGGACACGGTCGGAAGAAGGCGGCCAGAGAACCACGCCACACCAGAAGCCCATCACCTTCTCACCTGCCCCCTTCCCTGCCGACGCTCATTCTCGCACCGCAGCCACTGTTTCCATCAGGGCCGAAACACCCCAGCGCAAGCGAAGCAGGGGCCAGTTGCTGCCCTCACCCGCAGGGACAGCAAGGCTGCTGGTGCCAGGTGGGACCAGCCTGGGCTCACCGCCCTTCGCTGCCCTGCCCGCTTCACCCCTAGCAGGGGGCATTCCCTCCTCTCCAGGCCACACGATAAGCGCAGGGATGCCGAAGCCTCTTGCAGATGCTCCTCCATGCCTTCCCATGAACTCTCCCTCGCGTCTTCACACCCGCTGAGGGACGAGACAGAAACGCCACAGAGCTGCTCCTCCCCGAACCAATCCCTGCCCAAGCCAGCTCTGCCCGGCACTCTGAGCAGCCAGGGGAACCAGGGCCTGGCCTGACCCCACAGATGGGAAGGGCTTCCCACCGCTATTCCCTCGCAGCCCCGGCCAGCTGGTTGCTTCAGCAGAAAGCCCACCAGTCTGTCTCGCTGTCTCCCGTCCTCTTAATTCAGACGCGTTTTTCCAAAGCCACTGCAGCAGACGCTGTGTTATAGACGGTTAGCGCTTCCCATTAAAACGTTTTTAATGACTTTATAAATCCTCCTGCAGGAGCCCCTCCTGAACCGAGCCACCCGCGGGACTCATTCACTCAGCGAGCTTGTGAAGCAGCGCCAAGCCGCCACGCTTCGGATCCCGGGGGGGAGTTTCACG